GAAAGGAGTTACTGTGATTTTTTTCCAAGGTTGTCCAATTTTTCAGTGTTGTTTTTTAGCTAGTCAAAGTCCTTTGCATTCCCACACAATCCACCTGTCAACACTGGCAACAGGGGAAGATTTTAAAAAATAAGTAGTTCCTATTTATGTTATGGATCATGTTGAATTTTCAGGTTAATGTGGGAAGTTATTAGCCTTCTAATAATATTAATTCTTTCAATACTTGAACACCAGATATTTGGTTATTTATTTAGGTCCTTTAAAATTTCTTTTTAAGGATGTTTTACAGTTTCCGAGTATAAGTTTTGACTTTTTTTGTTTTATATATATGTGTGTGTGTGTGTGTGTGTGTGTGTGTGTGTGTTGTCATGCATTCTCATCCTTTCAATGTTATTGCAAATAAGATTATTACCTTAATTCTTTTACATATTTTCTATTGCTAGTGCATGGAATTACAAATGATTTTTGTAACTGATCGTGTCCTGTTACCTTGCTGAACTCATTTAAGAATTCTAATGATAGTTTTCTTTGTGTATTTTTATTTTTTTGTAAATTCTTTCATTTTATTCTATATGCAAGATTATGTCACTCACAAATAGACAAAGTTTTCTTTGTTGAATATCTGGATACCAGAGGCTGAGAAATAACTTTGTCAGTAAAATGCTCCCTATATAAGTATGAGGACCTGAGTGATCCCAGCACCCATATGAAAAGGCAGGCATGGTGATACTTGTAATCCCAGCACTGGGGTTCAGCAGCCAGCCAACCTTGCCTAATTGGCAAGTTCCAAGTCAGTGAAAGACCCTGTTTCAAAAAAGAAGTTGCTGGTTCCTGAGCAACAAGGCCTGGGGTAACCTGGCCTCCTCACTTGCACATACACATGTACACACACTCATGCACATACATATACACACACCCACACCCACAAATATGCATTGCACACATACACACAAGACAAAAAAATAACAAAATCTGAATACCAGACTTCACATTTAAAAGAAATATTTTATTTATTATTATTATTTTTATGCTTTGAAGAATTATTTTTTAATCTTTTTAAAAAATTTTAATAACTACATGATTAGAAGAAGCATTTCACTACAGCTTTAACATGGTCAGTAACATACTCCAGAGCAAGAGTACATCTCTTTCACAAGTGGGTGCAATTTTCTAGGTTCACGGTTATTTATTATTTTTGTTTTATGTGTATGCTTGTGCTGCCTGCATGTGTGTGAGTGCACCAGTTTTGTGCAATACCCACAGAGGTCAGAAGAGAGCATTAGATTCCCCTGGAACTGGAATTACAGATGGTTGTTAACCACCATGTAGGTGCTGGGAATTGAACCCAGGTCCTCTGCAAGAACAGTCAGTGCTCTTATCCATTGAGCCATCTCTCCAGCACCCAGATTTCACATTTTAATCATGTATTGTATATTCCAGTAATGAAGTTTCATATTCATTTGGTTTGAATTGATAAATAATTATTATATGTATTTATAGGTCACACTGTGAAGTTTTGTTCTATGCATACATTGTAGAAATATTCAGTGGAGCTACTTAATGTATATGTCAGCACAACTTATGATTTCTTTTGTAGTGAAATATTTTAAAAATCTATTCATTTAGCAATTTTGAAATATGTAACACACTGTTATTAACTATGATCATCCTGGGAGTGGAATAAATTGCCAAAACTTATTTGTCCTTGTGACTGACCTTTTATGCTTACAGCCCACTTCTTCCCTTTTCCCAGCTGACCCTGTCCCTCAGGCTTGCACAATCACGCCTCTATTATCATTTGTATGGGAGAAATACTTGACACACCGTCAATTTGTGCTACATATAAATTTTTTAGATGTCGGAATAAGAAAATCATCTCTACTCTGTATTAAATCATGTGCTAGGTCATTTCTATGTCATTTTTAATTACTACATCACTTAACATTTTAGTGTAGTCTTCTGTCACAGAAACAGCATTGAAAGTGCAGGGATCACCCATGTACTTCCTGTTCCCAAACTGTTTACCCAGTACTCCAACACACACAGCTTCCTTCACTTTTGACATCATGAACCAGTAGAGCATGTACTACACCTGATAAACCTATGTTGGTGCATCACCCTCAGAGGAGACTAATAATTTACATTTTGAGTCATCTTCTTTTTTTCTTAACATTTCGTTTGCTAGTTTTATTTTATGTGTATGAGTATATTGCTTGCACTTGTGTTAAGTACAACCATGTCGTGCAATGCTCATAGAGGTCAGAAGAGGGCATCAGATCCCCTGGAACTGGAACTGGAGTTACTGGATGGTTGTTGGCTGCCATGTGGGTGCTGGGAATTGAACCCGGGTCCTCTGTGAGAGCCATTTCTGTAGCCCCATAGTCATAATCTATGGATGTGGGTAAATGTATGATGACCTGCACTTGCTATTAGACAATTATGCAGAGCAGGTTCACTGCCTTCAAGTAAGTCCTCTGCACTCTGTTTATCCATCTCTCCCCTCTGTTCTCTCTCCTGTCTCTATAGGTTTGTATTTTCCAGCATGCACTACAGTGGCTCAAACACTATGTAATCTTTTAATATTGGCTTCTCTTAGTAATGTCGATTTGTTTCCTTCAATTCTTTTCAATTTTTTTTTGTTTATTTTTAGTTGCTCAGTGTATCTTTTTTTTGAGAATTTCCTACAATTTATTTTGATCATATTCAGAAGCCACCCCCCCACCCTGTAACCTTATCCCACTACCCCACCACTTCATGTCCTCTATTATTTTTTTCCTTGAAGTTTTTTAAGGCCTATTCAGTCTACTCTGTGCTTCCCAAGTGCTCTTGGGTGTGTGTATATTCCTTAGAGTCTGATCAACCTACCAGAGGGCACACTAGTAGGAAAAACTCTTGTCTCTTCCAGCATCTTTCAATTGCCAACAGATCCTCAGCTAGAATTGAGGCTTCCTGCCTACTTTCCCCAACCATGCTGGGATTTTGTCTGGCTTGAGTTTGCACAGGTCTTGTTCATGCTGTCGTAAATGCTGTACTGTGCGTTCAAATATACAACTACCCTGTGGTGTCCAGACAACAGTTTCCTTGTATTCATCTACCACTCTGGCTCTTGCAATCTTCAAGCTTCTTCTGCTGCTGTGATCCCTGAGCCTTGGAAGAAGAGGCAGTGATATAGGTGTCCCATTTAGGACTGAGCACTCTACAATCTCTTATTTATAGTGCAAAATAATATTCCACTGATGTACTACCTTGTAGCCATTTACATATATAAGGGCAGCTTGGTTGTGTCTCAGTTTCGGACATTACAAATAAAGTTTCTATAAATATCCGAGTGTATGTCTTTCTATAGATGTGGTTCTCAATTCATCTGAGCAAACATTAAGGAGGAAGATTGCTAGACTGTATATAAGCAGGTGTTGAGTTTTATAAGAAGCTTCCAAATTGTCTTCCAAGTGACTCTTCATTTTGAATTCCAATTAGTAGTGAACGAGAGCCCCTGTTGATCCCCATCCTTAGAAGGGCTTGGAGTTGTCAGTGCTTTGTAGTTTGGCCATTCCATATAATGGTATCTCGGTTCAATTTGTAATTCTTTGATAACATGATGTTAAAAATCTTTGACACGAACACTTGAGTTTGTATATCTGTTATAAAATATTTATTACTTTTATTTTATGTGTATGTATGTGGGCCTGGGTGTATATATGTACACCATGTGCATTGTATGCAGGTATCAGAGGAGGCCAGAAGAGTGTGTTTTCTAGTCTTTTGTTCATTTTAATGTTGTTGTTTTTTTCTTATTGTTACTTTGTATGTGTGTACATGTCTGTGCAGGTAGGTGCATATATGTGTGAAGGTTCACAAGCACATATGCATATGTGCATATGGTGGCTGGAGGGCAACACTGGCTGTCTCTTTTCAAGTGCTCAAGTGCCATCCATCTTGTTTTCTTTTAAACATTTATTTATTTATTTTCATTTTATGTGTATGAGTATTTTTCCTGCAAGTATGCAAGTGCACCCGTGCATTCAGTGCCCATGGAAGCCAGAAAAGGGCATTAGGTCCCACAGAACTGGAGTTACAGATAGTGGTTAGCTGCCATGTGGGTGTTGGGAACTGAACCTGGGGCTTCTGCAAGAACAGGCAGTGATCTTAACCACTGAGTCATCTCTCTAGCTTTTACAATGCTTTATGTTGTTCTGGTTGTTTGTTTTTTTCTTTTGAGTCAAGGATCCTCACTGGCTTGGAACTAGTCAAGTGGACTAAGTTGGCTGGGTACCAAGTCTGAGGGATACATCCATCTCTTCCTGCCCAACATTGGTATTACAAATGTGTGCCACTATGCCCATTTTGTTTATTTGTGTATTTATTTTAATGCATGTTACGGTGAACCAAGCTCAGGTCCTCATTGTTGCAAGGCAAACCCTTACTGACTGAGCCCTTATCACTGAGTTTTAACAGTCTTTTGTATATTTTAAATAATAGTTCTTTATCAGGTGTCTTCTTCCAATTTTCATTACCAGTCTGTGACTTGTCTTCTCATTCTTTTGACAGTGTATTTAAATCAGGGGTGGTTTTTGGGGGGTCTTTTTGAGACAAGGTCTCCCTGTAGCCACAGCTGGCCTGGAATTATGCAACTCACTATGTAGACCAGGCTGGCCTTGAACTTTCAGAGATCCACCTGCCCCTGCCTCCTGAGTCCTGGGATTAAAGGTGTGTACCACCACGCCCAGCTGTTATTTTGTGTTTTGGGACCTGGTCTCCCTGTATGCCCAGCTGGCCTGGAACTGCCTATGTAGACCAGGCTGACTTTGATCCAGAGTGCTGGGATTAAAGGTGTGTCTCACCACACCTGATTTCCTGGTCAAACTTTGATCACATAGAGATCCGCCTGCCTCTGTCTCCAGAGTGCTGGGATTAAAGGTGTGTCTCACCACACCTGATTTCCTGGTCAAGTTGCCACAAATAATGTCAAACTAATTATTTGTTTCTGTGTCTTTTGCTAGGGTTTACCCCATTGCTGAAGCGCTCCTGCTCCTTCTCTCTGCAGCCTACTTCCTTGACAAGTGGGTTTGAGCTTTGACTCATCAGAATAATGTCAACCATCCTAAAAACCAAATCATACTCCAATTAATTACAGAACTACTAACTTCTAATACCTAAGCATAAGACTAAATAAAGCATATTAAGAATTTTAAAAACTTCTCAGGTGATGACAGCCTTCAAAAAGACTGGACTGGGATGTTCTGTTTTACTACTAGTTGCCTGTCTTTAGGTATGTTACTTACAGTTCTTGTGACTCAGTTTCCTCAAATGCACAATGGAAATTGTGATGCTACCTAACATTTAGGGTTATTGCCAGTATAAAAATGGCAGTCATGACTTCCTGGAACATATGTGGATAGGAAACACAACCACTGAACTCTATGCAAATGGTTTGGTTCTGATTCATCAAATCGCTTTGTGAGCTCTCCATCACTGCACGGCTGAATGTGACGCTGGTATCAGCTGCAGTTTCAAGTCCTGCCTTCACGCCTTCCTTTGGAGCACTGCCTCCTGACCTCTTGATTCACACTGAGGCTATCATTCCTTAAACCATACTTTCCCAGGAAGAATGGAAGGTTTGCAACTCAGAGTTGTCAATCTGAATATTTATTTCTGTGGGTATAGCAACTGACACAGAGGTTAGTAGCAGACCCAGCAGGATAAATCAGAGTCCATTTCCAGTAATTGATATGACTACCAGGGGAGAAAAGGTTTCTTTACAATTGCTATCAATAAAGATGTTAAAAGCGTAGAATTTCCCATAGATGCCGTCCTTGTTAAATGCAGGAACCTGCTGAGCATAACAGTATACAGAAGAAAGCAAAGTCAGAAGGAGAAGTCAGAGATAGAGACAACTCTGGCAATGATATTATGGCAACTCTGAACCTAGGTATTCCTGAAACTACTGTGAATGTCCAAGGGAGCTATTCAGGGAAAGTATTGTATATCATATGCATCTTATGTATGTTTGCATCTATCTATTACCTAGCATCTATCTATCTATCTATCTATCTATCTATCTATCTATCTATCTATCATCTATCTATATCTATCTATTTATCATCTATCTAATCATCTATCTATATATCTTCTATTTACCTATTAGAACCCTGCATACATGTGAAGACAGAGAAAGTATTCAGATAGGAGTCATCTATCTTCATCTATCTATATCTATCTATCATCTATCTAATCATCTATCTATATATCTTCTATTTATCTATTGTCTATCTATCTATCATCTATCTCTCTATCTATCTATCTATCTATCATCTATCATCTATCATCTATCTAATCTCTATCTATCATCTATCTATCATCTATCAACTATCTACCTATCTATTGTATTGTTCTATCATTCTATCTTCTATCTCTAACTAATGCCTTAGTCTACTTCTATATAGATTTTTGTCACTTAAAATTTAAAGCCCTATACAATATTATCATACACCTTTGTCACAAATTATTGATCAGTATAGCTTATTCCAGGGTACTGTGAAGCTGTATTTGATGCTTAGGAAGGTTTTCACCTTCCAACAAGCCAGAGAAATGGGATGAGGAGTGGAGATGAGAGAGGGGCAGGATGGTCTTTATGATTCATGAATCTTTGTGACTATAGAAGAACAAATGCATCAATGCTCAAAAATGGATGGACTCAAGAAATTTATCATAAAAGGTTTAAAATATTATTTGCTATCCTAACTGCTCAGCAATTTTATTGCTACCCCAATATGATTCTGGATGTGTGGGGATTGTCCCTTCCATTAAATGAAAAGCCTTAATAAAACGGCTCCTCCTAGAGCTTCAGTAAAAGATTTGTCATATATTAAAACTTTATAATATTGGACTTCACTATGAATAGAACTCCATTCTAACCTACACTGAATACAAACTAGAATAAGTTTACACACAGAATTAAAAGTTAACAAAAAATCAGATTGTTGAGGTAGAACAATACCAAAAAGTGGTGGGATAAAGGCAGGTATGATTTGGTTAAGACTTGGCAATTATTCTGTATTTGAAGTTTAGGTCACCCTCCTCCCATGTTAATTATCCACTGGACTTATTTTTTCATGTGGAACTAACGAGAAGTCTAAGGGGGAACTGGAGCTGTAGAGAGTGAAGGGGGAAAAGGAACGTTTGTTGTGCGTAGGAGCAAAGTCTAGGAAAACACCAGCCTTTACTGTCTTATATATCATTAAAACTGCAAGTCTGCCAAGGCTATGTTTATTTGGCCACAATACAAAGAAATAGATATAAACCCAATATATTTCCAGTGTGACCATTCAAACATACAAATTGCTGGGAGGAAAGAGTTGTGAGTGTTCTGGCTGAAGGAAACTTGAAAAACGCCTGTCATAACTTCCTCATATTTTTGGTCAGGAGACATCTAGGTGGGGGCCGAGGCAAAGTTGGACCAAGGCAATAGTTACTGAGTGCCAGCTCCTTTGGTGCTGATTCATCTATCAAGAATAGAAAACAGACTCATGACCTCATTAAAGATGTGGTGCTATGCCTGCACGTGTGTAAGTGCACCCAAGTCGGGCAGTACCTGCAGAGGACAGATGAGGGTGTCAGATCCCCTAGAACTAATGTTATAGACAGTTGTTAGCCTCCATGTGGGTGCTGGGAGTTGAACCTGGGACTTCTGCAAGAACAGCCAGTGTTTTCAAACACTGAGCCATCTCTCCAGCCCAAGATACGGTTCTTAAAAGAAAAATGACAGCAGAATGCGGTGTGTGGCTGCTCAGGGGCACCAGCTCCCAAGACACTGAGTATCCTTGATCATGTGAGGAACCTTAACACACAAGATGAATATTTTCCTAACCATGGGTGCTTCTATATTAACCCCAAATTCTGAACCCAGGACTTGGCAAGTAAGGCAGTAACTGGGGCAGGGGAGGGGCGGGCCAAGATGGCAGCAGCATGGCTGTGGGTACCAGAGAAATTGCAGAGTGGTTGGTCACTGCTCCATCATCATCCAGTGGCTCTCGAGACCTGACTGCAGCCACCAACAATAATAGGAACCTGAGACACATACAGATTTCAGAAAATAAGCTGATGACACTGGTGTAAAGCTGCTGTATGAACCTGTGAAGCATTCCAGATGTCACTCAGAGAATCTTGGGTTGGATGCCTGTGAGCTACCTGCTGCCTGCTGTGAAGACCTAGTGTTTTCTTTTATCCACAGTAAAACCCTGCGGGGAATCAGCCTGCAGGAGAACACCTGGGACCACAGTGGGGTGACTGTGCTGAGTAAGGCCCTAAACAGCCAAAGTGTAACCTGTATGTACTTGGGCTGCCAATAACTGACTTTGCTGTGAAAACCTAAGTGTTTCTGGTTGCTGAGGAAGAGAGAACTCCTTACTTGACAATTTGTGTAAGAGAAACAGAAAACAAGTGTGATAATTCCATTCTAGGAAAATTCTGGTATATTCTGACCCAAAACCACGTAGAAAGGAAATGGAGTGGGCCCTTACTTTGGCCAATCTGTGTGTAAGAATTATAGATCACTGAGATATGAGATATAGATCACTCGAATGAGATATGATTTCTCTGGCACCCAGTTCAGATGTGTGGTATAAAATGGATGGGCTTTCATTTGCTAATAGATGACATGAAGATGGGAAGGAGGGTTTGGGAGTGAGAGGATGGGGGATGATAAGGTGGGTTGGAGATGAGGGAGGAGATCTGAACACAATCAAAACAGATTATGTGAAATTCTTAAATCAATAAAAAAGTTTTAAAAAGATATGGTTCCTTAAGAAAAAACTGGATATCCACCTACAGAAGAATGAAATTAAATTCATATCCTTCTTCCTGTACACAATCAATTTGAAATTGATCAAAGACCTTACTTTAAAACCAGAAACACTGAAAGTGCTAGACAAAAACATAGGGAATGCTCTTCAGGACATTGTGATAGGTAGGAACTTAAGTCTAACAGAACACCAGCAGCCTGGGAAATAGACCCAAGTAACAACAAATGGGCTACAAGAAATTTAGAAGTTTCTGTACAGTAAAAGAAACCATCAGCAGAGCACACAGCCAGGCCAAACAGTGGGAGGAAATCTCTACAATTATACCTCAGACTAGGGGCTAATATTCAGAATTTACAAAGAACTGCAGAAATTAAATACCAAGGAATTAAAACTGCCAGTCAACAAATGGGCTATTGAAGGGCAGTTTTCCAAAAGAATACAAATGGCCCTTAAGTATTTTTAAAACTGCTCAATATTTGGAGGCTGGAGAGAGGACTCAGCGGTTAAGAGCACTGGCTGCTCTTGCAGAGGACCCAAGTTCGATTCCCAGCACCCACATGGCAGCTACAAATCATCCTTAACGCCAGTTCCAGGGGAATCCGACACCCTCTTCTGACCTCCGTGGCATTGCATGACATGGGTGAACTCATATACATGCAGGCAATACACTCATACACATAAAATAAAAATATTAAATAAAAATATTTAAAAGTGCTCAATACCTATAGTCATCAGTGAAATGCAAAGCAAAACTACTTTGAGATACATTTCACTTCAGTCAGTTGACTATCATCAAAGACTCTGAAAGCAAATGTTGGAGAGGACATGGGGAAGGAGGAACCCTCATTCACTGCTGGTGGGAGCACAAATTAGTACAGCCATTATGGAAATCAGTTTGGAGGTTCCTCAAACAATTAAAAATAGAACTAACATATGATATAGCTATTTTGCTCCTGGGGATATACCCAGAGATTTCCCTACCTACCACAGAGATATTTGAGCCCTCATATTTATTGCTGCTCTATGTATATAGCAAGAAAATGGAGCAACCTCATTGTCCATCAACAGATGAATGGTACGTACATAAGATGGAATATTATTCAGCTCTAAAGAAAAATGAAATCACAAAATTCACAGGACAATGGATGGACCTAGAATGTCCAAAATTAGGTGAGGACACTCAATCTCTGAAAGAAAAAAGTGAAATTCTCCCTCCTATGCAGATTCAAGATTATAACACATGTAAATAGGTAAACAAATGTATACATGGGTTTATTGTACCTTTTAGAAAGGAGAACAAGAAAGGGAAACCAAACATGACATACTAATGTGCTTGTATGTACAATCTGTAAATTTTTGGACGTTCTCT